CCCTCGGAAAATTATTGAGCGCCTTTTCTCAAAAACGAACGGAGAGAAGCGATACCTTTCATTTGATTCCCTCCAAACATCTACTGCTGAAATCCCATTTGTCACCTTGTGACGAGGATGGAAAGCCAAAATGTTGGCTCCAGGTAAGTGTTAAACACAAAACGTGCAATCACACGCAGGAAAACGAGAAACTAGGCATATGGTGTGCCATAATATATGATTTTTATGTTTATTTGTATATTTTCTACAAAAATTCCCTCCAAACATCTACTGCTGAAATCCCATTTGTCACCTTGTGACGAGGATGGAAAGCCAAAATGTTGGCTCCAGGTAAGTGTTAAACACAAAACGTGCAATCACACGCAGGAAAACGAGAAACTAGGCATATGGTGTGCCATAATATATGATTTTTATGTTTATTTGTATATTTTCTACAAAAATTGATTTCATAGCATTCGGTGATCCAAGAACTTCGGACCTTTGCTAGAACTCGTGTAACCTTAATCCAATAAAAACATTCAGGCAGCTTTCAGTCTGAGAGCCTGAAATAATAAAATACAAAAGTCGTATGGAATACATACTTGTACCGCGAGCTTCTTTGTCGTACTTTTCATACATGATATAACAATTCAATGGGTCAATACATCACTTGAGCCCAAGGTTGGGTGAGTGTATGCTATCCACTGATGTGGAAACGAATAATAAACTTCAGCGAATAGGTCCCCGAATATAGCAGACGAGTTTCACAAACCTTTACGTGGTCACCTTGACTGAAGAACTTCCGGAGCTCAACTGGTGTAAATGGGATCGGTTCGTGGAGGTCAGAATGATTCGGTTGCACAACAATTCGAGTATTGCCCTCAATTGATACGACCTTGCCGCGTAGATTTTTCAGGTCTCCTTCGCACACCTCGACCACATCGCCCGGGGTGAAACAATGTGTAATTATGGCCTCACCAGCACTTCCAACAGGAGCAGTGACTGAAGCTGCTGCATTGGCGGCAACAGCAGCTAACTGAGCGCTATCTGGAGTCTGATGAAAACGCTCGAGTTCAGCCAACGTGGGCCGAATACCTTCAGAAACCTGAAAAAGATACAAGGATAGCCGAAAAATGTGAGAGCTTACCAATTCTGCAATAATCAAGAAATAAAATGTATGATATGGTGAGGCTACGAAAAATAAGCATCAAATAACAGACTACAACAATGAAATTACATTTTTAGAGAAGATGAACTACATACTCCCACGTGTGCCATTTAATTGGGTACGCTGCACTTTGGTAGCTCACCATCAATGTGGATCTACATTACCATTTCATCAACAAGGTATCATCGCATCGCTCATATTCATGCGACTTTATTATTTACCTGAATAACTTAAGTATGTTTTCTATAATGTATTGAATCCATGATCTCAACACCTAGGACTTAGAAAAGTAAGCATGCCGGTTGGCAGACTGCTTTCAGCTGTACCCCTCCTTCCAGGATAACTGTGTCCTCGTCGATCAGCACCAACATCCGGTTGTTGCTCTCATGGCTGTCAAACTTAACGCACATCCCTAACTCATGAATTCAGACT